AACTACCGGAAACAATTCTGGATAATACCCTTTGGACTAAGACCGCAGTTGATTTTTATCTACATGAGCGGAGCCAGAGGTGTTACGCTGACATATACAAACTCAACGATGATATGCATTTGTTGATTGATCGGTCTTGGTAGGGTGTGTTATTAGGGGTTGAAGACAAAGGCTATTTCGATGGGGGGTAAGTCTTATATTTCTTCTTATATTTCATTTTGATTAATTTTTTTTTAAATTTATGTAATTCACTAATATATGTCTTTTTGTAAAACAGCATATTGATGCATGGGTGTCACGTCTTCTAATAGTAAGGAAATTAAGGAAAAATAAAAAAAAAACGCGATATACAATTATGCCGACGTCTTTTCACGTAGTTCACTTGAAGAATCAACGATAGGAATCATATGTGTTGGCTAATGGACAAGCTAAACTTTATCCTGCATGGTGGGAGGTCGATAAGGTTAGTATTTATTTTTAAAATATTTTAAAGGTGTTTATAAATAAGTGCGCAATTTGAATTATTACTTATGATTGCAGGTGTTTATCCCTGTTTTGGAACGTACTCATTGGCTTCTCGTCGAGCTTCAGCTCCTATCCCTGAAGACAATAGTATATGACAGCATGATAAATTACATATCATTGTCTGATTTGAGAGATATTATTAAGGGATTGAGCTCTCATTTGGCTAAATTCTTGGATGCGATTAGTTATTGGACTTATTATGGAAACAAGAAGCCAAAGAAGTTCAATGTACAGTCAGAGACGAGACCGCGCCACAACAAACGCAGGAAGCCAGAGTGGATTGTGGTCCTCTCGTATGCATGTGCTTGAAGCGTTTGACGACAGGAAGTACACAGTTTCTACCTCCCACCGATAGAGATAGAGGTGTAGTAGGCTTGTGGTTTTGGCATTTTATGGCTAGAGCGATATATGCGAGACGCTGCCTACCTGCATCCGTGTTATGAAAGTGTCCATAAACAATTTATAAGTCAAATGCAAGTGTTGTTAAGTACCTAGAATTCAATAATAATTTGTTGTTTGTTGGTTTTAGATGTGTAGAAAGTGTTGTTTGAGCAAATGTTTAGTTTCTGCAGGTTAATCCTGAAGTGAGCTGCGTGAAATTGATGTATGTGTGCATAAACAACTGTCTGGGGTACACTTTTTTTGATTGTTTAATTGATTCTTAAAAGTCTGATTTGTTTAAAAGTTGATTTGTTTAATTGATGTGTAAATAATTCTTATTTGTGCTTGTTTAATTGATTTGTAAAAGTTGATTTGTTTAATTGATGTGTAAATAATTCTTAGTTGTGCTTTATTTAATTGATTGAAATGTAAAAGTTGATTTGTTGATTTCAATCTACATCATATTGAAGGCAAAAGACCTGTTGAAGGTATACTTTCGCAACGCTAAACTCAAAATCGCAATGCGAAAGCCAAAATCGCAACGCGGAAGTTAATTCGCGTTGCGATAGTCTAATACGCTTTGCGATTTTCTCGTTGCGATAGTCAAATTCCCGTTGCGATAATCAAATTCACGTTGCGATAGTCAAATTCGCGTTGCGATAGTCAAATTCGCGTTGCGATATTCAAATGAATGTGTAATAAGTGATAACAACTTAACAGATCATAGCAATGTTCAAACTCAAGTTACTAATACATGCCTAACTGAAAATGTTAAAAGTTTACACATAAAATACACATAATAGTCAAATTCGCGTTGCGATATTCAAATGAATGTGTAATAAGTGATAACAACTGAACAGATCATAGCAATGTTCAAACTCAAGTTACTAATACATGGCTAACTGAAAATGTTAAAAGTTTACACATAAAATACACATAATACAACGTTTTCATTGAAAAATCACCTAAGTTAATAGTCCCAAAAGGTGAAGCCGGTTGTGATTAGGATTTTGATTTTGATTGCGATTTTGATTGCCTTTTTCTTGACACCATATGAGCTTTGGATTTTTATGAGGATCCATATTTTGGTAGAGGAAAAGATGATGTGATGCACTGGTGATCCATGTCAACCTTGTATAGCACTTTCCTTGCACCGACTACATGTCGATCTCTTCTTCTCTTCACCCTTAGACGGTATACGATCGTCACTTTTGGTCGGCCAGGTAGCCTTCTGTCCATGGCTGGTGGCAAACTGTTGTAATTCATCTGGTATGTCCCTCAGAAGGATGTAATAGGGTAGATAATCTCGGCATAAGTCTGTCGATATACTTCTGTAGTGTAGCATCCATAGCGTATGCGCTTGAATCATCTTGGTTTAGATGAAGAGCACTTTTATAACATGGCCACACGGATAACCAGATGTTTGCCATTTCATACAACTACAGTCTTTGCATTTAGATCGACAAGCCCATTTAAGTTATTATCCAGTACTTCAACAAGTGTTTGAACATGGTTCAACTCTCCATGACGTGACTCCATAACGTTTCGTTATCTTTTTTCAGTCCATGGTGTAACACGATGTTCCAATGTTCCTGTAAATTTAAATAAATAATACTTAGTAAAATATATGATAAGTTACGAATTTAAAGAAATAATACCTGCATGGTTTCTTTTCTTGTAGTACCACTGTTGAATAGAGGCTCGAAAAAAATCCATTAACATAGTAATGGGTAATTTCCGGGAATGATGACTTAGAGCGTTGATTGATTCTGCACTATTAGACGTCATGAAACCATATCTTGCTCCAAGTTGATGTACTCTTGACCATCTTTCAAACCCGACATCTTCTAGTGTTTGAGCACACTAAGGCAAAACACGTCTTAAACAATTTATATGCTTATTAAAATCCACTTCCCGATAAGCTTTTACAGCCTTCCAGTATGTCCATTTGTGATTTTTTATACCAGCAGACCTTGATTTTAGATTTCTATACAAATGAACACCACAAAGTCCATGAAAAGCATATGGGAAACACCTTCTAACAGCGTTGTCAATTGAGTTTGCCCTATCGGATATGATTGTCAGATTGCTAATAGGTGGGAGACACCCTGGTTCACACACACAAAAATAGATGGGAGACACCCTGGTTCAAGAACCCAAGTTTTTTCTCACCATAGACAGGCAAACAAAAAGGTGTTGGGTGGTTTTTTGGCTGAGTTAATGTTTTTGAATGGCAGGGTATATCGGTTCAATGATTAGTATATCTCATTTGCCACCAGCCAAAAAACCACCCAACACCTTTTTGTTTGCCTGTCTATGGTGAGAAAAAACTTGGGTTCTTGAACATGTATGTTTATCAATAAAAGTCCTAACTTGAAACATTTCAAAATCTTTTATCCTATTTGCAATCATATGCCACGTACAGTTTTTGTCAATCATACACCTTGTTTCGAAACGATCTTTGCTTGATTTGTTATCTTTTAGTTGATAGCCATCTTCCACACATTTCGTATACAAAGCTATCTTCAAGTCTTCCTTTGTATCAAAACAATCATCTTTCTTGATACGAATAATTTTTGTGTAACAATCAACTGCTATTTTTACCAACTCTTCTTCTAGCATCTGAAGTAATTCTGGCATATTACAGTTATACTCCCGTGGCATTTTCTTCGGGGATTTTTCTTCGGGGATTTCTTCTTCTTCTTTTTCTTCTTCAGGGTTATATGAATTACAGAATGGATGTTCAACATGTTCATTCACAGTCGTAACTTCCTCCTCATTATCATCAACAACATCTTCCTCGTCAGCGGCTGTTTCATCATCAAAATTCGGGTATTGACCAATATCAAAATCATTACACGCAGGGTCTGTTTCTTCTTCTGAAACATCATCAAAATCCGAGTATTGACCAAGATCAAAGTCCGGGTATTGACCAAGATCAAATTTCGAATACTGACTAGTACTTACAATTTTTTCTGTTGGCTCATAACTGGTCAATACGAAAACCGGAATTTGGTGCTGAAAGTTGATTGGGATTTGGATTAGGGAAAGGTTGTGGGTTTTGAGATTGTGTTTGGTATTGGAAATGTGGTGAAACAAAATTTGCTTGGTGATGAAATTGTGGTTGAACCATTAAATTTTGAGCACCATAAACTGGGGTTGAAAAACTTAGTTGATTACTACCCGCTACTGACCCAGCTTCACTACTTATAGGTTCAACAACATACAATGTAACATCATCTTACGAAACACTAATGTAAGCAATGAATCGTTCAACATCTTCATTGTCGGTTAACAAATAAACTTTACATTTTCTCTGATAAGATAGCCTAAATCCACTTAAGGGCTCTAAATTCAATTTATTTGCAACACGTAACATTAGAGTTTCATAAGTTAACTTTTTTAATGACAGTTTTAGCTGAAGATTCATGGGTAAAGGCATATATTGTAAAACACCATGAACATTCTCCCATGACCCTCCAAAACACAAATCTATCCAAACACGATCAACATTAGATGATTTCACTATTGTAAATTAATTTACTAAACAAACGAGCTGCGAAACTAAAACATGTTGCCGGATGGGGAAGGATGTCGTTGGATATAGGAACGGATGTCGCCTGAGAGAGTGATAGATGGAGATGGAATGAGTTGCGATTTAGGGATTTAGGTTATGAGTTGTTGCTGCTGCGTAGTTATATACCCAAAACATTTGTGTTGCGAAACTAAAACCTGTTGCGAATTTGAAATTCAGCGTTGCGACAGTCAGAATCGTGCTGCGATAGTCAGAATCGCGTTGCAATTTACATATTCGCATAAATCGCAACGCGAATTTAGAAAATCGCAATGCGATAGTCAAAATCGCGTTGCGAATCTGGAAACTGATTTGCGATACTGGAGATCGCGTTACGATTTAGAGATCGCATTGCGATTTTATTGGTCATTTTGTTAAATAAAAAAAATTGATCAAAATCGTATATTATAAAAAAATTTCGGTCACTGAAATTATTTTATCTTAAAATAAATACAATATAAAATCTACGAAATTGTATTTTAAAAGCGCTTTCTCTCCTTTCTATCATTTTGCAATTGCGAACTCCTTTTTTTGCTCTTCACAATTTTATCTCAGATTAAACCCTAAAAGACTCGAGATCAAAATAAGGCCAGATCATTCTTCGGTTCTCTTATCTCTTCATCCCATTCAATTCAAATTTAGGTTCACTCACTGTCATTCTGTAAGTGCATTTTCAAGTAATTTTAGGCACTGTAGCTCTTTAATAGGGTGATTTGTTTAGATTCTTTCTGTTAATTTGAATGAGGCGCAATTTATCTAACCATTTTATTTTTTTGCTTAAATAACCAATTTATCTGCTTACATTTTCTGAATTTATTTATTTTTAATTTTCATGATTAGTACAATTGTAAATGCCAGCGATTCAGTAAACCTGTGGAAATTTTATTTTTGACAGAATAATGTTTTTCATTGAAGCATTTGATGAAATGGTTACGTTTAAACTGTTATATTCCACTTACTGTGAGTGTTTTTCGAGGAATAAGTTATTGTGTATTTTTTTAGAATGCATGAGAGCTTGATTTTAGGGTTCGGGAGAGGGTAATGAGTTTTTACTTTCTTTCTTTCTTTGTTATTTTTTGGAAAAACGGTTTGGGTTTCGAAAATGGGGACAGTTCCTGCTAGGTGCAGGTATTACTCTTTCATTTAAGTTTTGTCGCTTTTTGTAGGTTCACCATCGTATCTCTCTCTCTCTCTTATTGCTCGCATGACTAGGTTTTTCCCTCTTGCAGGTTGTTTAATGTTGAAGTTTTAGAGCAATTAAACTTTCATTAAGAAATCAAGATTTATGGTAGTCAATGGCCAGGAAAAAGCATACCATGCCGGCGTACGACCTTCTTTGTTCTATAAATAATGATTGTCTGTTATTTGCTTATCTTGTTTGCCTAATTGTTTATAGTTTTTTATATGCAGTCAAAACAATTCAGGTGAAGGTTACCAATGTGATGAAAAACTTCCCAAAGTCAATTGGTTGCAGCATGTTGACGCTCATGATAAATTTTCATGCCAAAAGAAGTTTCTGTCAACGAATTTCCTTTTCTCCATGGGAAGGCAAAAACCTTGTACTCAAGGAGAAATGGTTACACAGTACGTCACTGTTCTATACTTTGACAGTTTTTCTTTGAGTATCACTTATCAACTACCCCCCCTCAATATTTTCCTTGTAATATGAATTATACTTATTGGTTTAGGTTTAGTACAATTAAACATTGTATAAAGCAAAATCAGCTGCGTGGTTCCTGCTTAGTAATCTGAGAGTCCACTCTGTAAAGATACTTTAAGAAGCAGAATTGCATAGCCTGACATTTGGTTATTAGATGAACAATAGGCGTTCTGGTAATTGCAGCTTTACATAAGGGATAGAAAACAATATAATGATGTTGCTATTAATCACAAAGCAATTATATTATAAGTTTTTTTGTAAGATTTATTTTATTGCATTATAGTACATAATTTAAAGATTCCAAGGTACATTATCTTAGTTTCATTCCATTGACCTATTTATTGATTCTTCTAACATACTTTTCTCATGTCTTTAAGGCTGATGTCCTGTCAGATTCAAGATTCCCAAAAATTCCAGCATTCTCAGGTTGAAAAGGTAAATTTGATCGGAAGGATTAACCAGTGTTAGACTTAGATTTTGTATTCTTTGATATCCACTGCTTGGATGTTCATTTATTTTGAATTTTGATGTCTTGGGTCTTTTTGTGGAAATATTCCGCAGGCTTGGCAGATTCTTTCCAGCCTTCCAACATCTTGCAGGACCTACTTAAGACCAGGAACAACTGCTCCAGTTAAGACTTCAGTTGATGAGATTTCAAATAATCGGAGAAGAAGCTCTACCCTAATGGAGTCATCAGACATGAAACAGTCTGAAAATATGCATGTCCATCCTAACAGCAATGAAACTGATGACATGATCAATGGATATGGAAGGTTCTTGACTAGTTATTTTCCATCAAATAATGCCAATTCTGTGGAAGGTGGAAATAATCAACGAGGGAACAGTGAGATTAAACCATCAGTGTTCAGCCATAGTAATACTAAAGTATTAGGTGGATCATTAAGGAACCAAACTGTCCATGCTGAGCAACTGGGTCTGCTTGCAGAGGTTTTGACTAATGAAATTGATGACGATGACCTACTTAAGGTAATCCCTTTTGCCTTATCTACCATGGTGATATTTTAGTTGAAACCGGTTATGTTTGTAAATTGATTTACTTCTCTGTCTCTCTTTCCAAGTCAAATGCATTTTCAACTTGAATTTGCTGTCATTTAGTTATCTTGTTGCAGTTGATTGGGCATAGTTTCTACTGTATTAAGGTTTTCTTTTGATTGCTTTAACTAGAGTACTCCTTGCTAGCTATTCTGATGTTGTTAGTTATGCTGATTTTATGCATTTCTTTCTCCTTTTACTGAACTAGTAATAAGGTTCCGTGATTTTATCCAACTTCAGTTATTCTTTCTCATAATCTATACATCATTATTAATCTATGTCTATTATTAAATTTCAGGATATTGACGTGGACCAGATTGTCTCAGAACATTATCAATCAACTTCTACACCTCAACCTTCAGTTTCTAAACTTCCACCCATTACACCAAGTGTGGATAAAAGTGCTTTTGCTGGACAAGAAGAAACTTATTTACCTCCTGAATTATGCTCAAACTGCAGTCATTGGTGTAAGGTATAAATCTTATCTTCATTTGTATTCAATCTGGTGTCATTTCATTTTCTCCTAGTTTATATTCCTTATTCCGGAAATCAATGCAGTTAGGACATTGCCCAGAAGCTGGTAGTCATGTGCAGGAGATGAAAGACACGTTGATTGCTGTGTCAAATGAATTACTTGACAATGCTACCAACCTGAGTCCAGAGCAGATAGAGAAGCTTCGTCAAGATAGGTTTGTCCTTATATTTTCAGTTTTCCACACTTCATTTGAAGGGGATTTATTGATATTAGTTTGTTTTGAGGCAACCATAATGATATTCACAGGAGAAGTAGAGTTAATGAAACCTATTAAATTAGGAATTATGGGGATAATGTGCAATGGGTGGCAATGGAAACTGGTCTTTGTTATTTCATTTTCTGCATTTTGTAATATGTTCAGACCCTTTTCAAAGAGTTAAAAACCAATAACTCCTATATTTGTGTGTCTATTAATATACTCATGTTTATGGTCAGGTTGCAGCTAAATAAGCAAATTCAGCAGCTTGAAAAATATATATGCGATGTGGAAAGGAAAAGCTCAAGTTTTTTAGCATCAACGACACACACTTCTCATTATGGAACACCACAAACAGCTTCATTCAACACTAACACAATTCAATTTGATGCCCAGGTTCATTTACGTAATGAACCAAATGGGTATGACAATTGGAATTCATCAACAGATACATTCTCCTCTGTAAATAGTTTTGGTGTTCCATCAGGTCCTATTGAAAGAGAACCATATGTTCCACAGATTATTGATGTAAATTATATTGAAGGCTCAAATGACCAAAAGTGGAGTAGTAGAGATTTTCCCTGGACTAAAAACCTGGAGGTGTGTGTCTTATTTGTTAATAAGTTTTCATGGTCCATACGTGATCTTTTCTAATGTTTTTTGCCACTTTCTGTTTAGGAAAATAACAAAAAAGTGTTTGGGAACCACTCATTTCGCCCCAACCAAAGAGAGATTATTAATGCTACTATGAGTGGCTATGATGTTTTTGTTCTTATGCCTACAGGAGGGGGGAAGAGCCTGACATATCAGGTAAAGAGGTTTTCTCAAGGCCTGTTTCTAGTACTTTTGTATTTAGGCAACTACTAGTTTGCTTGCCTCTCTCAGCCACTTTTGCTATTACATTCTGATGTATTTTAGTTGTATTGACTTACCTTGTCTCTGCTGGTCCACTTTTGTGGAGCTAAATCTTTTAGATGTCATGCAACATTTGTTTGTGAAACATATACTGTTTTATGGACTATGCTTTTATTCTTAACTTTAGATTTTGCTTTTGATCTCTAGTAACAAGGGATAGAAGTTTTCTAGATTAGGCTTTGGTTATGGTCCGCATGACCATAAAGGACTTTAAGCATGTTTTTGTTCTTCTATTTCAGCTGCCTGCTCTTATCTGTTCAGGAATAACATTGGTGATATCTCCCTTAGTGTCACTCATCCAAGATCAAATAATGCATTTGTTGCAGGTAATATGTTATATACACTTGTTTATCTTTTATTTGCATGGTTTGTAAGCTGCTTTCATGATGAAATGTACTTCCTTTACCCATTTGGTTGCATGATAGGTAAATATACCTGCTGCTTACTTGAGTGCCAATATGGATTGGACTGAACAACAGGAGATCCTTAGAGATCTTACTTCTGATTATTGTAAATACAAGTTGTTATATGTTACACCAGAGAAAGTGGCTAAGTGAGTATTATGTGAATCTTTTATATTATTGCATGTAGCATTGACAGATATCTGCAGTAATTACTTTGGTTGCAATCACTTGCCTGTATTTCCTTGAAATAAGAGAGTTCATTCTAGAAATCACGAAGTTGGTTCAATGGTGATTTCTGGAATTACTTGGTGAACCAGTTGGATTGTTTTTAAATAAATAAAAAAGGAAAGGAGACAAGAAGTTGGTTCACTAATGACTTTCTGTAACAGAAAATGATTACATTCTGTGGTTATTACTTTTTGCAAACTATACCTTTATTTCTTTTAACTGTAAATGTGCTGCATTTTACTGCACTAAAGGTTGGTATTTTGAAGTCAAAATTTTCATAGAACCTAACGTGATGGTTATCAATAAGGGAATGGTTTTGAGATAACATTTGTAGATAAAATATTGCAACTTAGCCTTCTAAAGTTTTGCTTGGTTATTTTCGAAACATTGAATACCCCTTTTCTTCCATTCGCCTTTCCATGGAGAAAGCCCATTCTTTCTGTACTGTTAAACTCCCTCTCTATGTAATGCTTGGAATTCTTCCCTTTATAATCTTCCTCGATGGTCATTTAATGTACATCTGGTGGGAATTTTTTAACTATTGTAATATTTTTCCTATGGAGAAAGCCCATTCTTTCTGTATCATTAAACTTCCCCTCTATGCAATGTTAGAAAATCTTAACTAATACATATATGAATAATGAGCAGCATACACATTTTTATGTAGTCTTGGTTGTATAACCTCCATCTTGATTACAGGAGTGATGTCCTGTTGCGGCACTTGAACATTCTAAATACATCTGACTTGCTTGCAAGGATTGTTATTGATGAAGCTCACTGTGTGAGTCAATGGGGACATGACTTTAGGCCGGATTATCAGGTTGTAAACTTTGAAATTTTCTATACTACTGGCCACATTCATGTAACTTCTGTTTGACATTAAGCTGGTCCATAAACTTTGTCTAGGGCCTTGGTATCTTGAAGCAGAAGTTTCCAAAAACTCCAGTTTTAGCTTTAACTGCAACTGCAACAGCCAGTGTAAAAGAAGATGTTGTGCAAGCTCTTGGTCTCAATAACTGCATTGTATTCAGGCAAAGTTTTAATCGCCCAAATCTATGGTAAGTGCTGAATCAAGATGGAGTTTTAACTTAATGTTTAGATCAAATCATCACTGGTTTTGATATCACAGGTATTCTGTTATCCCCAAAACAAAGAAGTGTGTGGAAGATATTGACAAGTTCATTAAAGAAAATCATTTTGATGAATGTGGAATTATTTATTGTCTTTCAAGAATGGATTGTGAAAAAGTTGCTGAGAAGTTGCAGGTTTGTCTTTCTGTTTTTTTAAACAAGCTGTTTCTACTATTTAAAAGCACACTACGATAGATTCTCTGGTGCAAACAAGGCATTCAGGCTCAAATCTAGGGCCTCTAACCCAAATCTTACCTCACACTTACTACATGAGTTAAGCCTTGGTGGCACACTTGTGATAAATTAGTTGAAAGATGTTTAATTCTATAGGTACAAGTAAACACATTAAGGGGTTAACATGTTTCTGTTGCCCTTTATTGAAATCTTCTTTGGTTCTCTTTTCCTTTTCTTGGTCAATAATGGTTACTGTGGCTATGAAACATTTTCATGATGAAAGATTTTAACAAAAATGAAAAAGAAATTGTAACAATATTTATAGTCAGGTTGAGGAAATTAGTTTGAATACAGATAAGCATTGAAGTTCTCTCATGTCTTTGGGCTCTAATTCTTCCATTTTATCACATTAGAGTTGTGTTGTCCACATCCAAGTAGTGAATAAGATTTTACAGCTTGATGTTTTGCCTCTCTGCTAGCAAAAAGACTGTTATTTGAACTAGGATATATATTATTAAGAAAAGTAGAATATTTTAGTCGCCTAATCCTTAAAACTTCATAATATTGAAATCCAAAGTACTAGGTTTTATGAGAAATCAATTATCCATTCTCATTTATATCATTCATGCCTGTTATGTTGCTTTTCAGGAATATGGACATAAGGCAGCATATTATCATGGTAATATGGATCCTTCACAACGTGCCTTTATTCAGAAGCAGTGGAGCAAAGATGAAATCAACATAATTTGTGCTACAGTAGCATTTGGAATGGGTATCATTCTCTTCCCCCCCCCCCTCCCAGTTGCTTCCTTGATTAACTAAATACAACCATGCATTAACACTTTTTTTCAGGTATCAACAAACCGGATGTTCGCTTTGTCATTCATCATTCTCTTCCAAAATCAATTGAAGGTTACCATCAGGTAAAAACTCGAGATTAAACATCATGCTGTGCTGCCTAAATAAATTTCTTCATGCTTAATGTGTTTTTACCATTTTTTAGGAGTGTGGTCGTGCAGGTCGAGATGGTCAACGCTCATCTTGCTTATTGTATTATAGTTACAGCGATTATGTAAGTTGCTCCACTTTATCTGATGCATATTCAGGGTTTTTGTTAAATCCTGAGGAAAGGAGTCTGTTTGCCTTGGGGTCTGTCTTCTTTCACATGTTAGGACTAGGATGAATCAAGTAACTGGTGAGGTATTTCTATTTTTTCCTATTTACTTATACATATTAATTCTTTTGAAGATACGCATCAAGCATATGATTAGTCAAGGTGCAGCAGAGCAAAGCCCCTCAATGAATGGATATAGTCGCTTTAATAATTCAGGGAGGATTTTGGAGACAAATACTGAAAATCTCCTGCGTATGGTATTTATATGAATTCCTGGTATCCTTGATTTTATTATTGTTATAATATTTCAATAATATCTTAAGTTATGATCTCAATGTTTCAGGTTGGTTACTGTGAAAATGATGTTGATTGCAGACGTCTTTTACAGCTTCTGCATTTTGGAGAAAAATTCAATTCTGCAAACTGCCAAAAAACTTGTGATAATTGTTGCAAGGTTAAAAGTTCTGTTGATAAGGATGTCACAAATATAGCAAAACAACTGGTTAGAAAGAGCTTTGCATTTCTTTTTCCTTCTCCTCCCTTTTCTTTGTTTAGAATATGAACATATAATTTCAATTTGCTCATATCACTTCTTGCATAGGTTGAACTAGTAAGATTAACAGGCCAGCAGTTTTCATCATCGCATATATTAGAAGTCTACAGAGGCTCCTTAAGCCAATTTGTGAGTCCTAAACATGAAGCTTGGCCGTTGCTTATTCTATTTTCTTTTCTGATTGCAATCTTTTTGGGGTAATGCTGAAACTAGGTCAAAAAACATAGACACGAGTCTTTCAGCCTGCATGGCGCGGGAAAACATTTAGCCAAGGGTGAAGCTTCCCGCATAATACATCATCTTGTTGTTGAGGAATTCCTTTTGGAAGACGTTAAGAAGAGTGATATTTATGGATCTATGTCGTCAGTGTTGAAGGTATCCATAGGTTCCTACCCATCTCAACGGTCACTTTGCCAAATCGATTATTTCAAAAAAAAGGAGCAAGATGCTTCTCTTCTCTTGCCTTGAATATCATACATACTCAATTGCTGCTTGACTTGTTTCTAGAATTGAAGGCTAAAACTCTTTTCCTTGGTGGGCAGGCAATAATAATAAGGTTCAGTGTTTTCTTTTGCTGTTCTTATTTTTGTCATAACTCGTAAGCAATTACTACAATGAAATATGTATGCTAATTAAGGATATATATGACTGTGAATTTGTAGTTAATAATAGTGTTAACAATGCATGTAATCATTATGTTTACTGGAATTCTAGTAGCTAGAAAGTTTATATCCGTGAGAATGCACAAAGCAATTTCAACTTTCTGCATCTCAAATATTTAATCAGGCTTGTTTACTGTTGTTGCTCAAGTTCATTTAGAAATATTACAATACTCTAATCAACCTGACATATGGTAAAACGATGTAGATTTGCTAGCTCTGTAAAAGCAACTAAAGCAAGCAAACCAGAAGCCAATCCAGCAAAAGGCTCCTTGACCGCTTCAGGGAAGATAAGTCCACAAAGTGTTGATACTTCAGCCCAATCCCACTCCATAGTCGACTTGGTACCATTTCTTCGATGCCTTGCTGTCTTATTTACCAGACATTATTTCAGGTTTCCTTCAAACTTATTTTATATTTTCAACAGAATCTGTCTGCAAAACTGTATTCTGCTTTGCGAATGATTCGAACTGCTCTTGTTAAAGAAGCCAGTGAAGGGGTCATGGCATACCACATATTTGGGTGAGCTTCTGAATATTCCGTCATTCGAACTGAAAAAAGGTCATTAGAAATTCAGCTTATTTATTATTATTTTTCCTTTGCCTAGAAATGCTACCCTGCAGCACATAAGTAAAAGAGTTCCAAGAACAAAGGAAGAACTCCTGGAAATCAATGGCATTGGGAAGTATGTTTTGATATTCAGTTATATGGTTGAAATAGCTTTTTCGTTTTTAGCTAATATATATATATATATATATATATATCAACAAAAATGTTTTGATCTAAGTTTAGGGCTAAGGTAATCAAGTATGGAGATATTATTGGAAACCATTGAAACTACCATAAAGGAACACTACAAAACAGACAAAATCGGCAGTGGCAGCAGCAATGACAGTAATGACTCGGCAAAGCGAAGAAGAGATGCAACTGCTGCTCCACCAAATGCGAATGCCGGTGATTACAACAACAACGATGACTTCACCAGAAGCACCGGTAGATCCAAGAAAAGGACAGTTGAAAGGAGGGCCAAAGCTGGTGATCCGTATCCTTCAAAAGACCCAGGTTATTATAACAATACTGATAATGATGATCTATGCCCTGCTGTTCATGACCTTCAATTTGATGATCTTGATTATTTACACGACGATGTTGAATCGAATGGGAACTGCCCAGAGGTAGGGGCCAACTTGAATGGTGTAGTGAGGGTGCTACCTTCTTGGTCAAGAACATGACATAACGGGTAAACTGTAACACGGATTTGTAGCTGAATGTTTTGATTTTGTTGAAGGAAATGTAAATTGTATACACTACATTTCGTCTAAAATGCCGGAACACGTGGTTTTGAGAGGCATTCTTTGTTCCGCTTAGACGGGAATTATTTAAATTGGATTATAAAAATATGTAAGTTTGAATTGACTTAAAATAATCTGAGCAAACAATTTTAAACTAATCTAAATTGAAAAATATAATTAACAAATTTGGATGTTTCAAACAGATCTGAATTCAAAATATGTTTAAGTTTAGAAAAATTTATACTCCAATGAATACATTCAATTAGATGGTCTGAAATATTATTTTATTTATTAAATAAAATAAAAATTAAATAACATGCATTGACTCGTAATATCAACCAGTTAATATGCCAAGTGCTGTTGTTTTCTTTCCTCTTTGCTCATATTTTAATAAATATATTCATTTTCTCCAAATTATTCGCAATATCATTAGAAAAATATTATATATTTTTTAATTCTAAAAGAAATTGTTCGAAGCACATACTATTAACAAGTTCTACTGAAACACAGGAACACGATATATGCTACACCGAGGGACTGCTCACTACGGTTTAAAGCAGGGTTTTAAGTTTGTACACTTGTAATTACAGTTATGCATTATTTATCCTCATCTTTTCACAAATCACATGTTACCCATCAAGGTCGTATACCATGGCCCGTGGATGCCGACAGAAACCGTGGCCACAACCACCAGCACCTCCGACGCTTTCACAACCCTCTCTGTCAGCAAACCCGCACCCTTCCCAGCCCCGACCTGCCGGAGAGCAATTTCCGCCAACTTTCTACCATAGACACCACTTCCCCCAAATACAACCCCTCTAAAAGCTAAATAAACAGCACGCCGTACCTTCTCAAATACTGCATCCCCAGCTTGCAAGCTCTTTGCCATCATCCTGCCCATCATAACTTTCCTCTTCCGAGCCTTCTCATCATCTGTTACTTTGGAGAACCCGCTGATTACTTCAACAATCCCTTCAATTCCAACATCTTCGACGCGGTCTAAGAGCTCCGAGAGCCGCTTGGTGCAACTTGATATTACGGTTTCCATATGAGTAGGGGATACTACTTGCTCGCTCAAGAAAATTTGACCACAAATAAGAATGCTGCATGTGAATAAATCAAACATTATATCAGATTCTTTTCCCGCTCTAAAAACGTTTTCCGACGGCAACAACAAATACTAAACTAACCCTAATTTATACAAATAAGAAATGGATCATCCAAATACCTTGTGGATATTACAATTATCTTCTGAATCTCAGCCTGAACACCCCTCAATCTAGCAAGGTTAAGCATGAAGGTTTCCGGCAGAGAACCTGGGGTTAGACTGGAAACTCCACTTACTAACTTCAGCAAACCAAGCCTCACCACAATATCAACGGTCTCTCCCTTGCATTCTGGTTGTTGATTATCTGACCAAATAACATAAGAATCACCAGTACGTTAAAAATGATTGCATAATATTAGCCTTTTCACGTTCAGAATAGTAATGTTTCTCTACACATTTAAACTCAGTTTCAAATGATTTGAACAGTTCCAAATCGAAACCTGTAACTTTAGGAGATTTGGAAAATGTCATTTGGCTTGCATTTGCTGAATTGCAGCTTCCACCAGTTTTAAGGATAATGGGAGTAAGAAGGTCCTGAGATGAACTATCCTGGGCCTTCAAAGTTGACACAGAATTTTGGTGTTCTACCCACTCTTGATCTTTGCATTGCCATACAGATGAAAGCCACTGCGTTGTCAATGGTAAAGATGACCGAGTATCAGAAGGAGACCCATAACAGTTTGCAAAAGCTTTCCGAAGGTAATCCACACCAGCAGGTCCCTTTAACAATGGCTCCATCATCATTATACGGGTTTTGCTAATCTCCCGCTTAAGATCCTGTTAAGAGAATGAATATCACACATTAGTAAAAAGAATTTCTTACCCAACTTAGCGCCTTATCAAGTGATACATGGAAAATTCATTTTATCAAGAGAAAAAGAACATTAAAGAATACCTGAATCTGTTCTAGGACAAACCGTAGACCTTTGACCATTGCAAGGGCAGGAGAATGATTCGGCTTATCTTTGGCTTCACAAATGTCAGCTAACTCTTTCAATAACATCTGGTTAGCAGCCTTCATTTCATCATCATTGGCTGGAGAGGAGAGCTTCTGCAAAGTGCTCAATGCAAACCCTAGAATCCTTCCAAGATAGTTGATGTCCAAGTTTCCCGACTTCAGCACCTTTGAAAGAGGGAAACTGTTAAATAATTAGGATTTAGATTTAATAGATAAGAATACTAAAATGGAAATAATAAAGGGGTGCTAGCACCTGGGAGAGTATTTCTAGATCAATAGTATCCATTATTTCTTCTCTCCAGCTCTTAGGAGCCATCTCACAAATTTCATCCCCGACTTCCTTCACAAGGTCAATAACTCGGTCATAATTGGGGTTATCCTGTCTCATGGATTCCATAATTCCATCCCAGAAAGCCTTCTCCATTGTTTCTCTTATCTTCTCCTGCAAAACATTAAGAAATTTCCAATATGAGTATTGAGCATGGTAGCCAAGAAAATGATCGATTCTAAGGCAAGTTCCTATACTTGAATATTCAGAAAATCACATCAAAACCATCATCATAACAATTATGTAGCTTGCAAAAGTGCCAAAAATCCTAAATATGATTACAAGTTTCAGATTCTTCTATCACATATAATAATAATAATAAGACATGTATAAACCTTTATGCCGTTCTGTTCTTTATCGATGACACTGAAGCTATCAACAAAGCCACGCTTTTCATGAAGAAATTCATTAACAATCAATTCATTCTCAGTGACCAGCTGCTTTTCAATAGAAGAACCTAACAGAGCACCTGAATGGCAGCTGCTAGGCACAGAGGAACAGGAACTTTTGGACTGAGATGTGCTAACTTCATCTTCCTTAAACAGAGAGCGGACAACAAGGTTTGGCATCCGAGTCGGATCACTTCTTTCATCTGTTCCAGAAGTCGAAGAACTAGGAAAACCATCTGTGCTTGGAGATAGAGAAGGCGTACTTGGTGATTCTATTGGGCTCCCGCTTTCCTTTTCTTGAAAAAATTTAGTGCGTGTTTCAGATATTGCACATTCCATTCGTTCAATTCCAGCATCTCCGCACAAATGTTGCACTTTCTCCCTTAAGAGCTTTTGATCTTCCATAACCTGCATTATAAAAAAATTGAATGAAGATCCTCTGCAGCATAATGTAAACCAAAGGCACAGCTTAAACTTTGGACCAAACAATTAGTTTATAATTAAAAAAGTCCGATAAACCATTAATAAAAGTCAAACTGATCAGAGTGTATTTGCCAATTTGCATCGATTTTCACTGATATCAAGAAAAGACCAACAGTCAGATAGTGAGACCTGTCTTTGGATAGCCTTCATATCATGTGTAAGAGCAGTGTTATCTCCTCCAGGAGTCAACTTGCACTTTTGAATCATTGAGAGCTCGAGCTGGCAAGCTGCTCTTACCAAGTCCTCTTCCAATGACTGAACGTCCTTGACCTTCCACACCACAAAACAACTCAGGTAGGAGCACCATGCTTTATCAAATGATGCGAGCTGTGACCTAAATGTCAAACGTTTACTTATTGCAGTCTCGGGTTCTTTATCAGAACTCAGTATGGGACCCTCTAAAATAATCTTTACCAACAACTCAAACTCTCGAACAAATGCTTCAGCAGACTTCGCCAAAGCAATCTCCTGTTCTCCCTGACCACTTAAAACAGCCTCAGGATGGCCCAATATCATGTATGCACAAAGAAATACTCTAACAGGATATCTTGATGATGATGTAAGACTTTTGGCAGCCTCCCTCCCAGAGACAACTCTCTTAGCCTCTCTGCTTCTCACAGAGGTCCTGGGAGTGGTCCTCCTCTTTGGAGTAGCAACCCTTTTAAGAAGATGGTCAATGTTATCCAAACAGGATAGATGATCAGTCGCACCAGCTTCCCTAGAGGCCTTAATGCGGCTCTCAATTCGGTCAAGCAAACCTTTCACAGTTTGAAGGGTACTATGTGATTCAATCAGGAGAGCAAGTTGTTCAAATGGCATTGACTTAACAGAATTCTCATTGATTTTCAATGAGTCAAAGGCTTTTGCCAAGTCTAAAGTAGTTTTTCTCTGCCTAACAAACCACCTCCAGCACCTGAACAATACAAAGGAATTAGATATTAGGACATTAATAGTTTTAACCATTAGTTGAAATCTGCTGAAAAAAATGATTTTATAATTATTCCTAATAAAATGTTATCTACAATAGCAAAAGATATTCTTTGAAAGACACTTTGAATATCACAACAACAGATAATAAACCATACCAAGCACGTGTAATCCATGAAACATATACAATCAAATGATCAACTAGGAAATGTTGGTAATTATACCTTGCTAGTTTTCTAGAAAGCAGATCAGCTTGCTTCCTGGTACAGTTCACTTGAATTGATTTATGTGGCCTTCCTCTCTGGCTCAAGTACTCTGCTCTCCGTCTCTTTGCCTATTCATCAATAATTAATAAGCGGCATTATATATGCAATAAAATAGAAATGGGGAAAAACACAATGCAATTGAAGATGGGAGAATCATTCAATAAAAATTAATAGAAAATGCATACCCTTTGCAGTCTGTCTTCTAACTGGCCTCTCATCCTCCTCCTCTCAACCTCACGCTGATGAGAGATAAACTTAGCAACTCGCCGAACTTGCAAAAATCTAGCACGGGCTTTCTTCTTCTCTGCTTCAAGCAGTCTCAGCCGGTTTTTCTCAGCAGCTGCACACTTTTGATGAAGAGCAGCAAGAACACACTCCCTGTACTTACTCTCTCTGGTCATCCTCCGTAACAATGATTGTGACAATCTCTCTTTTAGAGTTGCTGTCCGCTGGCTGTAAGCCTTAAAGATAAGCATTCTGTTAGCCTCTGCCTGCTGAACACGTGACTGAACTTTTGTGCCAAGCTTCTCACGTTCCTTCTCAAAACGCATTTCTACCCCAGTTTTTGCTGCCTGCCATAGTTCATCTAACTTTGCCAGGCGCATCTGAGCCTTTTCCAAAATGCTCAACCTGTTGATTCACCAGCCTGTGAGCTTTCAAATTATAGAAAATTCAACACCAAAGAATAAGAATTTGTTATATCCCTCGGAAAGATGTACTAAGATAATTCCATGCTGTCAAAATCCATACAGAACATAACAGCAGTACTAACAAATCACACAAGAAAAACTTATGTAAACAGCAAAATGATCACAATAGGTTTTGAAAGCAACTGAAAGATTCTATCAGAAGTGAAAAAATGAGAATGTGACAACATATACTCATCAAGGCAGCATAAAACTAGATTTGACGCTACCTTTTCTGCTCGGCAGCTTGAAGCCTTGCTTCAAGGCGCTGACCAAGGTCTTCCTCATTTGGTGAGGATCTGGAGGGGCTTCTTGGCTTTGATCTTGCCTTCCTTGACAGGTTTTCATGGAATTGCTACAATCAAACAACAACCACAACAAAAGGGGATAAAAGTGAAGAAAAGTGCATGTAAATTGAACAGTTGCGTGTAGATTAATGGAACCTCAACTGCATACGGCTAGCAAGTAAATGGATTAAACAACTTATTCAAAAGCAAACATGGAAAATACACGTTTTGGAAGAGAAAAGAGAAGTTTGCAGGTGAAAATGCAGTACCAAAAAGTATAAATATAAATCAAGAAATAACAATCCCACCTCATTTGTCTACCTGACACAATGAAAAAACTGCTGAACAAAGATTTTATGACCGGAAGAGTTTCATATTGTAAAATCTTTTAGATTTCATATAAGTATGATCCATAACATTAAAAATAGAATCATGAAAAATAGAGGGAAAATGTATTAAAATTAAATTTCGGTAATTTATTCATTATAATTTCTTTCTTTTTTAAAATTAAAAAAAGATCATGACTCAATCTAAAACACCACATAGCTAGATGGAGTCGCAGAGTATATCTCTTCTTGAGGTACGTAATAAATTTGAAATTCATCAGAAAAAAGTCGGTTAAAGAAATTTTCTGAATCCTTATTGAACTCTTTCAATATCGAGTTGTCTAAATATATACATAAAAGGGAAAGAAAAGAAAATTCAGTACTTATCTTCACTGAACAAATCAGACATTTCAGTTTAGCAGCATCTTAACCGCCCAAGTATCTTATCAAGTAATTATATAAGATTAAAATTTCTTCACGAATTTCTCTAGTTACTATTGTTTCCTCTTTAATTTCTCATTTCTTTACTTACTATTGTTTCCTCTTTAATTTATCACCAACTATGAAAAGTAATATTAAAAAAAAATGAGTTAGAGCCTAAAACTTAATTATAAAAGGAAAAGAAATGAAACTCGAGTTACCTGTCTACGACGATCGGCATGTCGAAGCTTGTCTTCAATTTTTTCTACAGTTGGAGGAGTCTTACACTCGGCAAGAAGCCTCTTCCGAATCCTCTTCGGCACACGCGAAGACGATGGCGTCTCACACACCGGAAATTCCAAAGCCACCGGTCTCCCACTCTCCGGAGCCTCCATCATCATCGTACACACCGAATTTACAAAAGAAAAATATAAAAACCTCTGTACAATTCCACAATCACGATTATCCTGGAATTCCTTTAACTAATCTAAAATTTTCACTCGATCGAAGCAAATTTCTAATTAATTATGAATAATTGAGAAGAAATGCAGCAGAAATTACAGTATTTTCTACAAGTTCTTGTTTCGAAAGCTTTGAAAGAGGATAGAGTTCTTTTTTTTAATTATTATTATTATTTTTTACTCTCAATTTTGTGGGAAATATTTGGGAAAATAAAGCGTGTTGGAATTGCTGATCTGATTATTCGGATGCTTGCCACGTCAGATCATACCTCCAACGTCTCTTAATTATTTATTGATCATTTAAATGTTCAAATAAGGATACAATATTTTATATGTTGTTCATACGTAGATGTAATTTCCTAAAAAGTTCTAATTTTTGCTACATTTAAATCAATTTTTTCAAAAACCACCTTTGAATGTTACTTTTCGATATCACTTTTCCAACACAATACCAAATTAACCCTAACTAATGACATTATTAAAATGGGTATCAAACTGTGCTAAATTGTATACGAAAACAAATCAATTTAGGCATAATGGAGGGATTAAAACCATGATTTTGACATTTTATTCTACTTGGCTGACGCTGTGCCCTTTCTTTTACATTATTTCAAAAGTCGGTTTGGTTAGGTGAAATGAATTAAAGAAAACCCTATAAAATTTAGCTTTTAAATTATTATTTTCAAATAAAAAAATAAATCCATTTCATGTATTATAATTATTCTTTTCAAAAATAAAGTCGGAGTGATACGATATTTTATTACAGTATCACTTACTCATACGTAGATATATTATGTTAATATTTTAATTTATGTAGATATGTCTTGTTAATAAAAATATTAATTAATTAATAATTATAATATATAATTTTTTGAACTCAAATAAAATAAAGAAATTTAAATATTTTAAAAATAAAAATTGATATTAAAATAATTATTCAATCGAATGATAAAAATAAAATATAATATTATATATTTGAATCAGACATTGTATCATCATATAACCCATAAAAGTGAGAAAAAAACCGTGACTTAAATCAAACTTTACGTACAAAACAATTATTAAATTCTTTTTTTATGAATTTCTTTTTCTTTAATCCTCAAATATAACATCACTAAAATTATTTAAAAAATTCATAAAAACTATTTTTTTTAAAAGATTATTATATCACTGGTATCCGATCTATTGACCGACTAATCCAGATCGGATACTGCAGAGGCGAGGGTGATCCTTCCAAACCAGTTTACTCTATTCGCGAATGTCAGGATTCGAACCCCTGACTTTACTTAATATATCTAATACATCATCTCACTAGATCGATTGGTTGTTGGTATTTCTAAAATTGTTAATTACACGTAATCTTCAAGAACGTATTGTATGTTTATTGCTTGAGTTATTTGTTTTGTTTTCCTACTCGTGGATGACGTGACACAAAATGTCTCCTAACATCAGTTCACTTACTGAATTTGTCCAACATTTATATCATTTGATCACTTTGTAATTAAGTTATGGAGAGTGTTTTGCTCTGCACACAATTATTTTACTTTTGAGTGAGGTACATAAATAATCTATCTTATCATAAAATATTATTTTTTTATTAAAAGTTATAAAATAATTTTAAATTATAAAATATTTTGTTGAGTTATTTGATAAATAAAAATTATAAAATAATCACTCGATTATTAATATATTTTAAATTCATTTATCGTTAAAATTTTGATAATCTATATGAGTTAATATATTTTGAACATCTTTGTTTTCCCGTATTTTTTAGGTCAAAATTATAGACCTATTAAAAATATCTATTTTTTTCTTAAAGTTATTATTTTTATTCTTTCTAGATAAAATTATTATTAGATTTAAAATTTATCAAAAATATATAGTATTTATTAAAAAGATATTGATGGATGTAAAATTTGATATTTTGGGACGTACCAATCATGCCACGATTGTACCCTTTCAAGTATTAATTGCAATCAATTAAATCGTAATCATAAATTCACTTATTCCATTCACATTTTTTCTCTTTCCATAAAAGGCATTGTTACTGAAGGGCAATGGCTCATACAATTAAATATGAAGTGGGATACTGTAATTTGGTGATTTATCTTTTAAAAAATTTGGATCACCTACAGTTAGGGGCGGGTGCACTTAACTTCTTAGTGATTATTTGATTTATAGAATGTAAGATTATCATTCGAAATATGATTATTAGAATATTACGTTACTAGCATATTACTCAATTATTGTATTATCTTATTTGGTTTATTTGATAAAAATATAAGATTACAGTATTTGAAATGAAGTCATATAAAATAAGAAAAATGTATGTTTTATCAAATTGTCCTTAAGACAGATTTTCTTTTTTAACAAATGAAAGTTCATAGAAAACATATTTTCTATTATTTATAATTTATATATTTTTAATAAAATGTATACACATTTAAATATATTTAATTGTTTATTTTTCTGAAATTATTAAAACATAGTTACACCAATATAATTATATGTTCTAAAATATTAAGAGATGAACATACTTACACCGGTGTAAATATGTGTTAATTGTTACACTTTTTCATTTATGCTACATGTATGAGTTGAGAAACAAAATATCATATCAAATTATATAACAAAATTAATACAAACTATTAAGAAATATAATATGAAAACCTTTTACAAAAATTAATCCTAAATTATACATGTAATAAAATATATACAAAAAATAAAATTTGAATCGAGCACATGTAAAAATAATCAAAATAAAACAAAAAATTGATATATTTTTATTTTATATGCATCATATTATTTTATAATAAGTATTAAAAATTTATAAATTATTAAAAATTAAAGAAAATAAATTTACACTCGTGTAATTATATAGAAAATGAAGATTATTTTGAATTAATTATATTATTCAGGAGTATTATTGTCCACATGGGAGGAAATTGTCTAATACTTAAAAAAAGGGGGGAATAAGGAATTCAATGTGAAAAAAGGTGATGTCTGAGGAAAGACAGACAAATATAAGACTAAGAAAATACGTTATCGAAAATGTTAAAATTCATGAATTCACCCTAATAATAAGAAACATCGACCGTTCTTTGCATGATATGACGGCGGTTGTCAATAGTACGTGTCATGTCACTGTTGAATATCACAACTTTGTTAACAGTCACAGTAGACAGTAACATATTCAGAAATTTAAAAATAAAATTAAAATTTTTTAATATTTCCTTCTTCAACATGATGGGTATATAGAAATTCTTATTTTATTCTATTTTTTAATATATACGACAATATTCAATAATTTATCTAAAATAATAGGTACGTACTTAGCTCTTAAGAGACGTTTGAATCAAGAAAAAGATCATTCAAGAAGAATATTTTTTTCCTAAATCACATATTTATGTTTGCTTCAAAAACATTCTCACCAAAAGATAATGAAATATTAACGATACTGTTTTTTTAAGGTAGTTATGTTGTCTAATATCCTAATATAAGGTTAAGAAAATACGTTACTAGAAATATTAATTTCGTTACCTAAAATTAATATTTTCGATATTAACATTTCTGGTAAAAAAAAATATTTTAAATAGCGTCCGATATTAATATTTTCAATCAAAAAAATAATATTTTAAATAATACTCTACTAAAAATATTAACATTTTCAATATCATCTTTCTTTAATATTATATTATACTACTTTTCTTTATACATCTCATTTCCGACCTGTTCTCGCGACTTTGTTTGATAAAACTTCAAAGTGTCTGTACCTCCTAGAAAATTCCACCTAGATCTAGTTTCCACCAGAAGTACATACCTGGTTGCTTAGGATATTTACGTAGATAGGGGTAAGATGATTTATACTATACTTGTTTTCTTTTATTAATTTAAGAGTGATTATGAGATAATATTTATTTAATTTTTTAATAATAAATATTCAAATATTTTTAAGATATAATGTATTTAAATTTAAAATCTTTAAAAAGAATAATCATCTATTTAATCACCGAGATAGTTTGATTTGTCCTACTATACTTAAATCTTAAACTAAAGAGATTAACATTAATTTATGATTACTCTATGATGTAGATTTCTCAATCAAATAACTTGCGAACATTATTTACTAACTTAAACAAACAAGGAGATTTAACCATCAATCTCTAACAGAATTTATTGAGTGATCACGATAATTAAAAATATTATTTTATTTATATAGTGTGAATTTGATATGTATTACGGATGGGCTAAGATTTTTTTTGGGGGGGTAAATTGGGTAGGCTCAGGCTTTACAAAACAACTTGGCAATCGTGCTCCAAATGTGTGTTTCATTCGAAGGTAGGAATGTGAAGCTGTTGGATTATTTAGGCCCAAATAACCCATTTGCCATTTTTATTGTCACTGCAAATGGGTCAGACATTTCCCAGTTAAAGATTGGCAATAAGTAAATGAACAAACATTCGTATCCGCCACTTTCTTAAGTTCAATTAAAAGAAATCAATTTTCTAGTAATATGATTGTTGAGCCGAATTCCAACCATCGAGTCTTTAACTTGCATAGTTTACACAACAAAAGAGGCAATGTTTTCCCCAACACACTTGTGTTTGAAAAGGCACAATTCTTAAAAGCAACATTTTCGTTGTTGCAATGGAGATCATGACTTTTTGAATGGAACATTGGTAATATAAATCCCATGGAAAACAAACAAACTTATTGAAAAAGCTGCATGGAGAATCCAATGGAACTCGACTCCTTTTTAGGGGTGTTCATTTGATTAAAACAATGGTCGAACGAATCGAATTACCTGTAACCGAATTAATCGAATTTTTTTTCTTTAACCGTTAATCGAACCGAACTTTTTTATGAAAGTATTAACCGAACCGAATAAATTTCGGTTAATTTTCGAATTAATTGAAATTTTTTAGAATTTTAGAATTTAATATTTTTATGTTTCAAAACAATCAATTATATCATTTCCAGAAGAACTCATTTCGAATAAGAGGGGGGAAACATAGGAGAAACGACAAACAAAAATATGTCAAAAGCAATTCGATTTCATTCAACGAAATAGTAATAATGATTCGAGTGATAACTAATAGAT